GCCTTGAAAATCAGCCTCTCCTCGAAGTTCTTGTCAGTTTTTGGCACCTCTGAAAGCAATGGATAAGAAATGCTAAGGAATCATCCTACCTGGAACATTTCAAAATTGTATAAATGTGGATTTTGGAAAACATCAGCCATCTTTTAAACAAAGGAGTATATCTGTATAGTGTTATATTTATATCTGTCTATCTTTCTAAAACCAATGTGCCTTCCCTGAGGTCAGTGGTCAATCTTCTGAGGCTGCCACCACTCAGACCTGTTACAACAGTAATTCCAGTTTCATTCCACATCTGGCTGACCTTCATGACAACCATTTGCAGATGGACAAGAACTTACCTGAAATGATTTCTGGACCTTTTATTTTTTTTACTGAAATGATATTTGGAAATGATTCAAGAAGCTTTTTTTTTTTTTAACAGTGTTTTTTAGCACTCAATTTTGCATTTTTCGACATGTCTTAAGCCAATTAAAAATGGCAGAAAATGGAAATAGTAATTAGGTGATGCAGAAAAGTGAAGCACAAGATTAGGTATAGGAACTTCTGTTGTATCCTCATTCCCTAAGTGGATTAGTGCTTAGCACTATCCCTGCTGAAAGAAAAGCTTTAAAATAAAGCCAGGTCCATGTGTCCATTGATATTTGTAAGCAGCTGGTTAGAATTTTAGCTGCACATTTGAATTTCTGGAGGTTGCTCAGCACTTTGAAGTTAACCACAAACACCATTCATTTGGGTCATTGTAGCAAATACCAGTTGAGGATTTAAACCTACCAATCTGGGTCAGCCACCTGGCAATGCAGCCATACACTTCATCCAGGATGATGATGACCACCAAGTTGATGATGACTGCGGTGGCAGTGACAGTGACCCGAACACTCGACCGCCCCGAGGGAGTGGAACTGATGGCCAATGCTGCCGCCGTCGAGATCCTGTATATGATGACTCCAAACACTATAGCGAACGTCAACCCAACCTGGGAGGAAAGCATAGCCCAACCTCTTATGAAAGATTTAACTGTGTTTGGAGCTTAGAAATGACCTTAAAAATGAGATCTCTAGGCCACATCCCAACTCCACCCAATTCGGCATTAAGGCTGACAATCACTTCAGTGAACTGTGGGACAAGATTCTCTTTTTTGACGTGAAAATCACATTGCACATTGATATGATGATGCCACAATTGCAAGCAAAAGGCTTTTTGTTAAAGGCACCTAAATGTGCCTTTAACATTGCCTTTAACATTGCCTAAACTACTTGCTTAGGAGTATTTTTAAAAATACTGCATACTACTAAGAACTAAAGACTAAAATAATACATATTACTAATTCATGTAAATACTAAGACTGAATGTATTTGTGGGTTTGCTTTCAGCCCTGGCAGCAGCAGTGTATACACATGGGATTTGCTGTATTTACATAAGAAACCCATGTTTGAAACAGAGAGGAGGACTTCAGCATCACCCTACACACAAACTGTAAAATCTTCTACTCAGCCTTGCCGTGCTGTCAGAACTTCAAAATCAAACCTGATTAAATCAACACACTTCCTGGCAAGGTAAAAGTGCACAAAGTCTGACTCAATTTTTATTGCTTAAATAGAGAAATAATTTTAAAACATCATTCTTATAAGGTGCAGAATCTTCAGCTGAGAATACTAGATTTGCTGCATTTCCATTCTCAGAAAACACAAATCAAAATCCCCATCCCCCAAAATCAAATGAATTGAGTTAGTTTGGCAAATTCTACCTTTGGAAAGGGCTTAAGCTCTTTTTTTACCCATCTGCCAATCTGTTCCATGTCTTGACTTATTATTATTTCTGTCAACATTGGTTTTAAATGCTGATGCTTTCTCAGCAGATGGCAGAAGGCTGTTCCCATCATCATTTTACCTTTCCTGAATTAAATGCTCTGTTTGCAATTCTCCTGTGAGATGGCATCACTCCAAATCTGACTGAACTATTAAAAATCCTTGCATGATGATTGCAATTGGCCACACCACTTCTTTCAAAAAGTCTGGTATAAAACTGAGGCTGTTGTCCACTTGCTGAGCAGTTGTGAGACCAAACCCTCTTTTTGGGTTTGTCCCATCTGTGCTTGTAGGAATTTCCATTTCTGTGCCCTCATTTCCCCCCACACTATTTTAGTATTCTTATTCTTTTACTGGAAACAGAAAGCAAAGTATACATTCAAGGTCTTGAAAAGATTCTAGATTATAAAACAATAAAATGCTTGAATTTTTTTCATTAGGAAAAAGTCATTGTGAACCACATCAATCTGATAAAGTCTCTGATAAAGTTTCAGTAACATTTCCATCCCTTCTATACATGATCAGGTTTTGCCAGGTGATGCTTACCATGAAGATGATGCTAACAAAATTGGTTAAGTAGGCTGGGAAACGATCCTTCCATGTCAGCTTTTCTTTATCTGTCTAAAATTTTTTTGGGGAAAAAAGGTACATTAGTAAAGGAGTGTGTGATTTTGCACATGGGACAACAGAGAGGGGGAAGAAAAGGCTGGCAAAAACACAATCAGTCAGAAGATGCAGACACAGTGTTTACAGTTACAATTCCACACAGGCAAATTGTTTATTCCGTATCTAGGTTCAAATCGGTGAACTGCCTCCCCCATGAGTATAAATAAACCACATTTTTCTGTATACTTTTTGAAGGAACCATGCAAATAGGCTGTCATAAACCATGAAGTAAGGTCTCTCTTACTGTTAAATATTTTCTTTTCCTTTGCCTAGAAAAATTCTCCTCCTTCCTCTCTCCCTTCCCAGTTAATATTTGCAGCTTTGCAGTTGCACAACTGATTCCCCTGCAATGTAGATTTAAGGAGTAACTCCAAGATGAACACAGTTGAGAGGGAAAATGCTGTTTTGGTGTGTGATAAGACTTGAAGTGCCTTTGATATGAGTGATTTTGGTCCACCTGACTATCCCTGTGGTATTCAATGGACCACACCAACAGGAGTTAAGATGTGCATATTCCCTCTGCCCATGGCAGGGGCTTGGAACTAAATGATCTTTAAGGTCCTTTGCAACCCAAACTGTTCTATGATTCTCTCCTTATAGGATGCCCAAAATCCAATCAACCAGCCACTGCCTGAATTTGGCTGTGAGTAAGTAAGTAACACTTGTAAATGAATTTAAGTCCTTCATAAACTTTGATGCCCGGAATTGTTTGGAAACACCAGAAAATAAACAAGAAAAAGGGCCATCACAGAAGATGATACACAAATTGTAATGAACATAAAAATATTCCTCTAGTTCTATTTTCATGACATGCATGTTGTCTCAAGGAAGTGCAAGCAACTCTTTCAACACATGGTCCATGCTCCACTGCAAACCAGTGTGAGTCCAGGATAGGAAATCTAAGATTAGCCATGCAGTGCCATTCCCAACGCATAGAACAGTATCCCAAAAGGTGCTGAAGAAACAAGGGGAGGAAGGGGAAGAAACTCAGAACTGAATGTGAATATTAAACAAAGGTTGAACAGCCAAAAACAAATTGATTTGTGTCTTCCATAATTACTCATAATTTGAGTTTCTTCATAAGTTTGAATAAAAAGAACCAATTTCACCCCAGCCATGACTGTCTTAACTCTTTGTCTCCATTTGTTTGCTGTCTCTTCTGGGAAATATCGGTGCTTCTGATGGCAGTCAAAGGAAACAAGAAAGGGATCGGGCAATATCGCATTACACAGCACTGCTCAATTAATTATACACTCTCTACTGACTCAGCAAGCACAGCACTTTAGCACAAGTGAATGCTCTATTAGTTTGCTTAAGGCTTTGTGTTTCAGCTTTAAGTTAATAAAACATAACAGAAGACAAACTCTTGTCCCAAATCCTAGGGTACATCAGGCAATCCTGCAAATGTTATGTCATTTTTAATATAGGATTGTGCCCTTCTTTCTCTTTTACGAAGTATAAAGAATGTCTGAAAACTTCTTCCTTTATTTTTTTTTTAATTGGTCTTCTCTTGAAAAAAACATAAGCAATTTTGGTTTAGCTTTAGATATTTTTTCTTAAAGAAGTTTTCCAAATTGACTTTCAGCTGCTGAATTTGAACTTTAATACACTAGATCCCAATGAAAGATAATTACCAAGTCTTTCAGAAAAAACTCCTTTTCTCACGTTTCCCAAATTAGTAACATCCAAATTGAACACAGCCCAAAAAAATTATAAATAGTCTGGTTAAAAAAACCAACAACAACCCTCTCCTAATTGCTCAACTTCCATTCTCCAATATTTGAGGGCCACCATTCATTAATTGTCCAATTAGTCTTCCACAGTCAAAATCTGAATTCTTAATACATCCCAAAGTACAGCAAGTTGCAGATTTTCAGCAGAATATAAGAAAGTCTGTATTCAAAGTTGTTTACTCAGCCTATAAGAGGGCACCAACTCAAATTCTTTCTCTTTTGCAAGGGATTTGAAAGGGAGTTGATTTGCTGTGAGGAAGATATTGCATATGGCACTGAAGACATACACAGCATCCTATAGATTAACAGCAATATACCACCAGCAGCTCTGCAGCATCTTTTAAGAAGGGCCCAGTGGTACTCAAGCAATCATTTAGTTTAACACCAGCCCAGTGTATCTGCTGCCCCTAAAGAGCACAGCACGTAAATGTTGTTATTGCAGTTGTATTTTCACAGGGTTTTAATAAAACCCAAATTTAGGGCACATTTCCATGCTACTGTGCCACTGGCAGCACATACAAGAGAGGAATTCCAGCCAACAGGTTTGGTTTATGCTGGAGTTTTAACTTCTGTGCTTAAAAACATGACATTCAAATGCCTAAATTCTTGCAATGAAGGGGGGATAACCTCTGGTAGGACAGAAACCAGTATGTGGGGGAGAAAAGGAGCTTTT